TCTTGTGGGCTTGGACTGTAACATTCTTAGCCACCAGTTTCTTTACATAATTTTTAATGTAGTACTTGATAAGGCTAAGGAGCAACAAATATTTACAAAATTTTGTAACAGAATGAGGAAACTTTTAGCCAGGGTCAATAGGAAGCCTCCTCTGTGATTTTAAAAAGCTGCTTCTGAGCTTATCAGCTAAGTTTTATTTAAAATCCCTTATGTCCTGTGAGATGAATTCCTGTAGAGAATGGTAATTTTAATGTGAATGCAGTGAAAGGTGTGTTATTCTTTCTTGTCAGTTGAGAAATTTTGGATCTCTCGGTGAAGCCTTTTTTCTCTTTATGTAGAATCCAGTCACTGTCTGCCAAGCTGGTAACTGAGMTTCCCATGGCAGCTGCAGGAGTGAGCAGCATGCCTGAGGCCAGACACTGGGTTTGCATCATTTTCACCTAGCATTGATTTCTTTTTTGAGAAGAAGGATGATGTGGGGAATCACAGAGGACAAAAGACTGAAAAAGTAGTTAGATGTACCCGTACTTGAGGTTTTGACAAAAGCTTGATACATGTCTTGAAGTGCATGTGCTTGCTAARTACGTATCCCATCTTCATATATTCCCATCCTTTGCAATGTCTTAATATGTGGGCTTCCCGAGGAGGATGTTMCTGTTAAGTCTATGGCTTTTCAAGGTATCTTAAAACTGTTCATTATTTAATACTGACAAAGTAGTGACAGGACAAGTGATGTGGTATAGCAGTAGTATTAAATTCTGGGTAGCATTTTTTCATGATTATTTTGTGTGGTCTCATTTGTCTGTTGAATAAGGACCTTCTGTTCWTGTTACATTTATATTTTTGAGATTATGCTTTCAGTGAAGCTTTTTTCCTTTGCCCAATCAGTGTGGATTCCAAATTGTGGGTCATGTGTCTAGATACCATTGAATTTAGTCTTCTGAAGTTATGTTATTATAAATGGGGAGAATCTAGATGCTTCATACCCTATGTGATAGTCATATCTTGTCATAAATCTGGATTGTAAAGGAGTAGTTTAGATKGATCAAGTTGGCCTACTTGGAAAAGAGCGGTGTTTAAATACTTAGTTTAACAAAACATTTAGTGAACTTAAAACAGTAATTTAGGAGTTGCAAGATAATAGTCTGAAATTTCCTTTAAATTACAGTTAATTTATGATAAATATGGAAGAAAGTAGAGTTCACGTTTGATAGTAGGATCTCTGTAATAAGCAAGGCAAGAAGCTGTTTCTTCTTTCTACCAGTGCAAAAGTGTCGCTACTGATAGATGTCCTAGATTAGGTGAAGAGTCTCCTTTACCACGCTGCTTTTGTGAGGCTTGAAGGGTGAAGGGTCTGCTGTCAATGGTTTCTGCTCTCATTATGAGAGTTTCTGCATTGCAGAGACATCCATGTATGTCTCTGTCTGACTTTGGTTTTCTTTGCTTCTCAAAACTTTAGTATCTCTAAGTTATGTAAACTTTATTGTCTTCAAGCCTTGCATCTTGAAAAGGACACATTGTAAATTACCCAAAACCAACCAGAATGGTGATTCAAGAAACATAATTTTTAGACARTTTTATTTTGTTAAATTTTGTGCTAATGATTTTCTGAAATATGTGGAAAAGTCTGAGTCAGTTTTTGTCATGCCACCTAGTGGCGGTTTTACTTATGTGTTTAAAATTCTTGGACYGACACGTGTTGGAAAAAGTGCTTTAAAAATCTGTGGATTGCAGCATTAGCCAGCATTGTACTGAGAGAGATAGTTATTAAACTTTTTCTTTGTGTACTGACTTATGTGTTCATAGATTTATTTTTTAGAGTAGAATGTCTGAAAAAAAGGCTTTGTTGTCCTTTTCGTGGATTCAACTACAGTTCTATTTCCAGAAGATTTCTGCTGTATTGCACATCCTGTGGACAGGATGCTGTAACAAGGATGTACTGGAGCAGGACCTTTGGGACCTGCTGCAGGGCAGACCTAGGTCAGGTGAAGGAAATGAATGAAGGTTTGTCCCCACCTCAGTCTCCTCAGCCATGTAAATAATGGAAATGGTGTTCCTGTTATAGCTATGCCAAACTGTGGAGGTCATATTCAGTCTTGAAGGAACAGGTCATGGCYGGTGCCTGACAGTGCCCGTCACTGGTGCAGGGTAAAAACCCTTCCCTTGTGTTGAGTGCTCTGCTTTGCTGTACCCTGATGTGAATGAGCACGACTGGAAACTGCTGGSGCATTTCAGCCATGTCAGCTGGAGCTTGCAGCGTTGGAATGAGCACCTGGAAATGGAAACCGTATGGGCTTTGATTGAATGCACAAGAATGTGTCTGTCCATGTTATTGGGCAGCTTCCGTGCATACCTATKCACATTTGTATATTAAATGCATCTTGAAGTCTTTAAGATGCTCTATATTATTACTTAACTCAWTTTTTTTGTTGAAGAGGCTTAATTTAAAGTAGATTTTAACAGAGTACTGGGAAAAAAAAAGAATATGTTCTGAGTACTTTTTAAACCTTTTATATCTTGGTAGGAATATGGTCTGTCCTAGAACTTGGGTCTGGGAGCAGCTATTCTAGGCATCCCTGATGCAGTCCTTTTCCTCATAGCTTAGAATGCTGAAGCTTTTTGTTGTAACAGGCATGGATTCAAGCAGAAAATGGCTGTGCTTCTCTTCCAGTGTCTCCAGCTTGTCTTCTATTCATAGGGAATCTCTGGGAGTCTGTAGAGACAACTGCAAACTTGTGTGAGTCTGTGGAAGTGGGACCAAGATAGCGATTTGAATACTTTCTAATACCCCTTTTGCATGCAGTGGGACTAGAAAAATATGGGAGACTTCAGAAAAACCTATGGATTGGGTTTYTGTGTTTTTGTTGTTTTTTGTTGGKTTTTTTTTCCCGCATAGAATCTGCCTTCAGTGATGTTGTTTTTAGCTCCCTTGASGAATCTCTTGAAAGGCTGTGACTATTCCCTATGCCATTGTGTTGGGAAAAACACCAAGGTTGTACTTCATACTGTAAATGTTCGGACAGCCATTTGACCAATTTGAATGACAGGGATCAAAATTCAGAAGCCACCAGGCAAAGGAGGCATTTACCTACACAGAATTCRAATTGTCTCTGTTTCAGCCATTCTGTATGTAGGTGCTGTTTTTACATGAAGGTTTGAAAGACCCCACAAAAAGGAAAGGGTTCACATCACAGATTTTTGCATCTGAAMTTTCAGTCATTACCCTTCTTCATTAAGTACGTGACAGTTAAAAAGTACCTTGACTTTTGCTTGTTAATTTTGTTCTCTTAGGAGAAACGGAATTGTGCTCAAACAGCTGTGTGTTTTGCTTGTTCTGCTGAATTTCTTCTCTAGTCTCTGGAAGTGCTCAAGGAGGGAACTAGTCTTTGGGGAGGGAGTTCATTATAAGATTGACTTCTCTCAGTGTCTGGGGTGAGATATGGKTAACATCCCATATCTGTTGGAACATCCTGAGCAGAATGCCATTTGAAACACCAGTTCTCGGGTCAGGAGCATAATTTAATTGACTTTTTCTGAGTTCTTTTAAGTTCCTCCTGTACGTGGCACTGGTGAGGCCACGCTTGAAATACTGTATTTTATTTTAGGCCCCTTGTTCCAAGAAATACAATGAGGTGTYGTAGYGTGTCCAGAGAAGGGCAATGGAACTGGTGAAGGATCTGGAGCACAATTMCTGTGAGAAGAGGCTGAGGGAGCTGGGAATGTTTAGCCTGAAGTAAAGGACACTCAGGGGAGATCTTATGATTCTCTGCAGGTACTGACAAAGATTGTATGGAGGTGGGGGTCAGTCTCCTGCAGGTGTCTTCCTGAGATATATTAAAAATCTGTTCCATCATGCTTCAGTTTTTTCTACAGAATGAGCAGAAAGCAGAAAGTTACAAGTAGGAAGTAGTTTCTGTTTRAAGAGTGACTGGGTAAGGGAGCAGTCTTTGGCTTGGAAAAAAAGATGAGTTGGATGATGTAACAAAGGCTTTCAAAATTGTAAGTGTCTAGGAAAGAGCAAGTACGAATTGATTCTTTCCTGGTTTTGAATATATAAAGCTAGGGGTTGTTAAACAAAGGTCGTAGGAGCCAGGTTCAAGTAGTTTTGTTTTGCACAAATGGATGTCAGACTCATGAAATCCCTTACTAATGTTACAGCTCATTACATGGGATCTACATGGGATAAAGGAAATTGGACTGTACTCTCTATTTGTAGCAGAGATCTCCTGAAAATCACTGGATCACCAAACTGTGGCCTGGAATTCCCAGATTTTCTAAACGCTGGACAGTGTGAGGTGGAGAGGAATATGTGAAGGAGGGCTGTTGGCCCATTCATCTTTGTGATACACTTCTACAGTCCAGTTTTAGAAACTGGATRCAGAAATGAATGGTGTTTGAGCTGAGCCATTGTGCTCATTTTTACATTTGTGCACTTCTTCCTTGATTTCCATTTGAAATTTGAAATTTGAACCCAGGTTGAAAGAGCTTTGAATCTAGGTGGAAGAAACAACTTCTGGATGCCTGGACTAACCCATTCACAGAACTGCTTTTAATGTGTGAGCTGGCTGTATGTGCAYGCTATCTCTCATGCATCCCAGACCTCGTATATACACTCTGGCCAACCTGCAKATCAGCTATCTGCACAGAACAACTTTTGTTTCATGTGTAGATACACTGTTCAGCTAGTGCATCCTGAACATACCAGATGTGCTGCGCCAACTCCTGAGGCATAAGTCTATGTTGCCTTCTGTGAATTTCGTGGTGGAAGTTTAGAGTCTAAAAATGAGAAGATCTTTGGTTTAATTTAGCTGTAGTCTGATGTAGTAAGCCCACAGGAAATCTCTCTGTGTAATGATTTGCACTGAAAGCTTAACAGTCCGTAGCCTGTGAATATTCTGATAATTATGTTGCAGAAGTAAGTGCTGTCTGGTAATGGTAAATTTCTGCTTTGTTACAAAACACCTGCACATTAGACTGAAATATTTTTCTTTCTTCCTCAGGAAAACTTTGAAGATGCCTATGAAAACATCCCCGTGTAAGTAGAATTTTTTAAAATGTGTATGTGTATATTAAAACTTGTTATATAGAAATGGAATACTGCATTCATGCCATTCCAGGGACATGTGATTTTATATATGCTCTGACTACATTCACATTTTTCAGAACAGCTAAGGTTCTTAGGAGTTGAGAAAAGAAGTGTAATTGGGCTGATATATGTGTTGAAATATTTGTCAACAAATGTGACAATTGTGAAGAATTAAAATTAGGAAATTTACTAATTCAGTTACACACTGACAGCTCTAGACATTTTTGGTGGTGAAAAAGTAATTTCTTAACATTATTAGGGAAACTTTGGATCACACATTATGCAAGACGACCTAAGCAAGATTTTCAAATGGAAATTGCTTATATCTTATAATATACTGCTGCACAGATGTTTTCCCCTAATGAAGTGRGAGACAATCACTTCTCTGGCATTAGATTTTATGCTGAAGGAACACCTTTCTTAAAATGTGATGAAAACACATCATGCTGTTCGCAAACGGTTTTAGTTTTTCTCTAGGATTTTACTGCATTTTTGTGCAATGAAGCACATGAGAAGGGGATTTCTGGTGAATATCCTGAGATTGCTAAAACACTTCTAGACCCAGCAGTAGCTTTGGACTGTACTTCATGGCCAAAACATCCAAGGTCTTGGCAAATTGTATTTTRCAGATTTGCCACGCCCTCTATTTTTATCTTACCTGAAGTAGTAAGGTCTGATCTCTGTGTAGAACTGAGAAAAATGAAACATTGCTTCCTGACATAGAGAAAGGAATAAGAACCTGATATRTTCAGGTTGAGAATTCTTCATGTTAATGATTGCTTTTTCTTCCTTTGACTGCCTAGCAGTTGTAGGATCGGGTAACTTCTCTCTTTGGCCCCTGTTTCCCCTGGGATGGGGAAGAGAGTGACTTTGGAATACTGCGTGAGAATATTTATCCAACACYCATTCCTTCTATGAGAAAGTAGTTTTGTTGTCTTTTATTGATGTCTGATGTTTGATGTCTGAGCTGGGCAGGGTTGTTTATTTTTGTTGTGCAGAGCTTTGATTTGTTATTCCTGAGTGTCTCTTCTGTGTTCATAGCTGTCTTATGGAAACACTTTTTATGATAGAAGTTAGAAGTTAGGATGTTAGTTTATTCTGGCTGGTATTGCTTCCATCTATCGCAAGCATTTTGTAGAAGAGTCAGTGAAGGATGATGGAGAGAGTATTAATGGGACAGAAAATTGTGTTGTTACTTATTTGCACATAGCAAATGCATCTATTCTTTTGTATATGGGCAGGATTAGTAGTAGATTATACTCCTTTCTCAAATTCTTCAGAAGATACAGCTATTTTTAAAAGAAATGCCTAAAGAACTGAAGAAAAATTCTTGGAATGTTTTGTGGAAATCTTCAATCTTATCTTTCTTGAAATGCTTTGATTGTAGTTTTCAGATGGTGCTAGTAGCTTGCCTGAGGGACAGCTGTTCCTAAACCTAGTGCCACACTGGTTGTTCCTGACCCTTCTTTATCTAGAATTAATAGTAGTTGTTCCATTACTATATTGAAACAATGAATCACTGGAGGTTTAAGCTTCTGGAAAGCTTTATCTATTTTTTTTTTATTTTGCTGTTGATAACATTCACTTTCAACACTTCTGTGTCAATGTTTTATTCTCCATTATTTTGTATAGGAAGGTGGCATTGTTACAGCTCTGTCATCATGTGCCTGGCATTGGTTCGAGTGCTTTATTGTAGTTAGTTATATTCAATGGAATTTAATGAAAATTGACCTTTTTTAATAGGGACTTGTGTCAACGAAGACTTCTGTTTACTTTTTGAGATCAGTTTTGGTTCAGATTCTGTCAGATTATTGTGTTGCTTTATAGAGTTGGGAAAGAATGTGTGACAACCAGATCTTCATAGTATTTCATATATCCCTCTGCAATTACTAGTGTACAATATATGTAGAATATCAGTGCTCTATATTTTGTACCAGTAGGTGCTAGCAAACGGTCTTGCTAATTCAACTTGACTTTAGCTGCCTTTATTCTTTAAATATTATTGCTTACCTATAGATACCAGATTGTGCAGGTTAGACTTTGAAAGGGCAGCGAGTTATCTTAATAGGGTGAAATCCTTCCCTGAATCTTGTGTGCTGGCTGTCAGATCTGAGGACAGGCCCAGGAGGAAAATAGTCTTTGCTCCACTGGTTTAAATGTATTGGATTCTCTGTCTAGACTCTCTTGTCATCTTGTACTTGGTAGTTACAGTGGATACAATCAGCAACTCCAAAACATGTAATGATCTTGAAATACTTGCTTTGTAGAAATGTGAAGGAACTTTTAAATGGAGTTTTTACTGTTAGTTTTGTTCACTGGCGCTAAAGCTAAAGAAAGGCTATTACAGTTGGTCACTCTGTTATTTAACTTAAGGTAAACACTAGCATTTAATACCTTCTCTTTAGGTATTAAAGGAACTGAGTTTTCAAAATGCTGGTTTGATAATAACTCTTGATATAGCATCTTCAGCTTTCCAAGGAGAATAGGTGGAATGCATGTCAAAGTAAATTCACCATTACCTTTTGTGTTAACTCAGAACTGGTTTGATTGGCATATTCTATTGTAAAARGAACTGAATAACTGGAGACAAACTRTGATTTCTGTTGTTGAAATTCAAGCCTTTGCCAAGAAATTTTGTGGTGGTAGACTGCTTTTTACCAAGTATTCCCCATTTTTCAACTGGAGTGTTTTCTTACTTCCAAGTACTGGGTGAATGTGTTTCACCTAATGCCTGCCAAGTATCTACAGGTTCAAAAACATACATGGGGCCAACAGATTTGTGTTTGGTTTATTCTTTTATTKAGTTCTTGCTAAAAATGCCTCATCAATGCCTATATCTTACTGTGGAAAAACTACAACTTTAATTTTARTCTTTCTGAACAAGGTAATTCTCAGCTTCTATAAATTTTTTTCAATGTATTTCTGCTACCTTAATTTTTACTCAAATTATTCRGAGCATCTCTTTGTAGAATGCTAATATTCTTGTTTTCTGTTGCCAGAGTATRATTTTCTAAATTATCTTGTCTTTGGCTTTACAACTAGATTAAAAGTGGTTTGTGTTCTCTACAGTTTTTAACCGTCACTGTATTATGCTTAGCATGTACTGACCTTGCCACCGCTATTTTAATTTCTGTACGTATTTTATCCTCTGAAGTTCTCTATTTGTTTGGAACATGTATGAAATATTAATTCATTGGGATTTATGCCCGTCTCATTTTACTTAATGTTGCTTAAATGTCATCACAATATATGTGATAGGAGTAAGTAGCCATTAAGTTGTTGTATTTGTCCATGCAATCTTCCCTAGACTGCCATGCCATCTTTCTCTGTGACGTAAAGGCAAAGGTGAGCCTTTATTTACTAATATSAGAGGCTTGTGCAAATGAATAGCAGCATTTAGATGGCTGTATTATGGTTGCTGTGTGGGTCTGTTTATAGAGGTTRCTTTGTAGTTGTCTTTGGGAAGAARCGCCTGACTGCTGCAAGCAGTTCATATGCGGAGGAAGTCTTCATGTTGTGCTATTTATATAGAAATTTCTGACACCAGACCCTGAGTTATGGCATCAGTGGAAAGATAGTGAGATCTCATTTAAAACAGATTTAAACCATGAAGTATTGAAAAAGTGGAATCTTGCATTCTGTAAACAAAGCACACAGATGATTTTTAATCAAGAATGGAAATCTTGTGATTTTTGGCATTATCAATTTCAGCAGAAAGATGCATACTTCATTGATTCTCTTTTGTGTTTTCTTTGCCTACCCAAGGCTGGATGCTGTTAATCCTTGATCCTACCAAAGCAGCTCTGTGTCGTATTACTGAGGTGATAGATTAAGGGCCAGAAGTGTTTAAGGAAGTTAGAGCAGGTTATCCTTGTAATCTCAGAGGTGTAGTTAAGATTTCAGTTATACCTGCACATGTGAGTGTTTTCTCACTGAATGAAGTTGAACAATTAAGGAAATGACTCTAAATTCAAATTTTAATTCAGGGAGCTAACAACTTYTAGGAACAATTCCTATCTTCTTAAATGTAAGCTTACATTCTGACATTGTCTTAAAATGGTGAGAAGCAGCTGTGACAATTTAAATTATCAAAATTTTATTTTCTTCTGTTTGCCCCTCAAGGTCAGTGGAAAAAAATTACAGTAAAGGCAGTTTTTGTATCTAACAGGTAATATTTTCATAGCTGCAGAAATATAAAAGTATGACACAGTTACTATTTTGTATTATCAATTTCAAGAGTTGTAACAGCAGTAGAGATACAGCAGCCTCATCTAATATTTCCCAACCCCAGACATTCTAAGATTATAGAGTTTTAAACCTTGAGAAGTTTCGATTGGGCAGTAATTACGTCATTCCTAACATGTACATGTTTATTGCAATTACAGCTTTTGCCTGTGGTGTAAAATTTCTCTGTGTTTGTATTTGAGTAGAACACTTCCAGCCACATTATGCTATTTGTTGTATTGATATCTTCTGTTCACTTTGAAATGTGAACAGAATTCACTTACATTCATAGCTCCTTAGAAGAGGTAAACAAAAACTCAAAGCCAAACAAATTATCTCAGGGACATTGTACACAGAAAAGCTCAAAATTCTGCATATTTTCCACACGCTGTTACTCTCTTGCAAGCCTTTGCTGAATGGTTGGTGCACAGAAAGATACCACAGCCTGGTTTTCTGTTATCCCCTGTGCACCAAAAGAAATGTCTTGATCGAGCCTAAATAKTTGTTTGCTGCTCTGTGGCTTGTTCTTTCATTACAAATTAATTAACACCATGGTGTTAAACTTACGTAATATTTTGGGATGGGGGTTTCTGGAGACATTTGGAATTTATTTAATTGTTGTGTTGGAATCTTGATATGCTGGAATGCATGATCATGTCTGTGTTTTTTTTTTTTTTTCTTTTAACATCTTTGAGGAAAGTAATGTTTATTCTGTGCTTTTACAA